ACTTACCTATTCCAGTTATTTACCCAAAAATTCCCTACGGTGGCTTTAACAAACGTTAGATTTAATTCTTTAATCTTACACATTGTTAAAACTAACATTGGATTCCATTAAAGTTATTTCATTTCTTTTTTTTTATTACATTATTTTGTGTCAATCAATAAAAATTTATTGGTCAATTCTGTTACCACGTCGTTTCTTCACACGATAAATATATCATCTTTAAAGGGTAGCTCGATCCAAAGATGATCAGATAGATATTTAATAGGCTATAAATTGAGTTTGACATCCGCATTTATTATTTCTTTCCACATCTTCATTGATGGACGATTAATTTCTACCATATTGGCGATTGTCTCTTTCAATGTCGGCGATGAGTGATGATTACCGAGGCCATCGCGGAATCCTTTTTATCTCACCACTAATATTTCCATTATTAATAATAATAATAAAACAATAAAATTATTATATACTTGTATTTACAGGGTGTTCCACCTGAGGCGGTTTCTTCCGTAACTCTGTTATTATACATTTAATAAAGAAAATGTTTTCATAAAAGTGGTCCGGAATCATATGGTGCATATACAGATTTTTTTTCAGTTCTACAGGGTGTTCAATTTCTTCTCTGGACGCTACCTAACTTCATGATTTTAAACGGAACAGACCCATATTAAAAGATACTGTGCGATGTTAACTAACCTTTTAAAATAACGAAGTTAAGGAGCGTCCAGGAAAAATGGAACACCCTGTACATGCACCATATGATTCCGAACCACTTTTATAAAAACATTTTTTTTATTAAACGTATAATAACAGATTTATGGGCGAATGCGACATAGGTGGAACGCCCTGTATGAATAAAGCCTTCGTACACTTGTTTCGAAAGGATTAAATCTTTACAAAAGTTCATCTTACTGAGGACAAAATGCCATCCGAAGTACAAGAAGTTCTTCCTATAATGTGTCCCAGGATAGGGATTCAATTTGTTTTTTATTTTTTGCTAACAAGAACTTGAAGACTTGTTGGTGTAGGTGGAGATATACATGAGGAATTAGCAATACAAACAGAACCTATGCCCATTGGGTATAGCACCTAAACATTATTTATTCGGACGATAATTTTCGCCCTAATTTAAATCTCATCTGTAGTTCCGCCCTGTATTTACGGAACGATTCGAAGAACTTGCGACCCACTCCCAACAATAATAATAATAATCATCACACTCATCAACTTCGTGTGGTCTTATAATCCAGATAAGGTTTTAAGTTAGTGTAAGAATTGCACCTGCAGTAATTAGGAATCAGAACTCTATTGTCGTAGATAAAGGAGGTATTACACCTTCTTTAAGTATTCAAAGCACTAATTTTATTAAAATTGTTTGTAAAAGTTTCACAAGAAAATCAAATAGAGCTCTATGGAATTGGACTAAACACTTACAACACTAAAACCCAAAACTCCACACGAAAGCGTTTAAATTAAATATCCTAAAACGCGTTTCATCTTCGGTTAGAGACGACCTCTGAGGACTATAGCTTGAGTGTCGAAACGTGTTTTGTATGGAATTTTGAGTTTTCCAGTAATGAAAAATAAATTTAGAAAAAAAAAACACTTGCATCGGCCGAGAATTGAAACCGAACTAGCTTAATTTGCAGCCGACCGACGATTCTACTGGACCATTTCCATTTGTTCAAAATTATAAGCACCGATTGTCTTACTTTTTTCCGAACACGACGCCAGTCTTTATTTGACATTTATTGTTTGACGTGCGGGTGAATTGTAAAATACATGGTACTATTCCGTCGTGCTTGTACAAATTCCGGAATTTGAATGAAATTCACGGCGAATTTTTATTATAGTGACCGTATGGCGGACTTTCTTCTTATCACAATTAATTCCACCAACGAACTGGTAGCCATTTCCGTATAATGTATAATAGTAACCGAATAGCAAAACTTTAAAAAACATTTTTAGTGCATGTTTTATGGTAACGTGCCTATCACGTTGAGGTTAGTTACTTCGGGATTCGTTTCAGCAAGCTGATATCCATATATTTAAGTGGACTTTGTTGGAGCATACGTAATCCTAAAATGTAGCATCGTACTACAGATGGCGTTTACCGCGCCATTTGTGGTATTTTCTAAACCGCGCTGTTAAGGCAGCAGGTAAAAGTTGGTCTGTGTTCTGTCGGAGCTGTCTGCGACTCGCTGATGAGATCCAAAAAGATCGAAATCACGATCCGCGTCTGGCAGTTTCGACAGAATACAGACCACTTCGAATTATTTTATTCGATTATGGTAACGTGCCTATCACTTTGAGGTTAACTACGCCGGGATTCGTTTCAGCAAGCTGATATCCATATATTTAAATGGACTTTGTTGGAGCATACGTAATCCTAAAATGTAGCATCGTACTACAGATGGCGTTTACCGCGCCATTTGTGGTATTTTCTATTTTTAGTGCAATTCAGTCAAATTTTTACAGAATGCAATAGAAAAACAGTTGTAAAAGGGATTCGGAAGCGTTTCTTTTGATCCGATTCGAGATCTTTGTTAGAAAAATGACGGTGGCCGCCTTTTCATTAGGCTTTGGGTGGCCGCACGGTGCGGCGGTCGGATTCGAAGCCGCAACTGAGGCGAGCGATAGAACCGAGTCAGTCAGTCGATCGACCATCGTTCGTCGCTTTCTTGTGTGTATGTATTCTTCGTCGAGCACCTTTTTGAGGTGATGCCGCGTGAAATTGGGCATTAATTATGTGATTCAATTTTTTTTTCTTGGCGCTCTTCCAACAGATCTTTGTAGGTAAACATAACAGATGGTACCGTGACCGAATAAAAAAAAGCCAATAATATAATAGTAAAATGTAAAGTATAACGTACTCACAGTCGAAATAGTGACAATACTTTATAATAAAGTATGGGTGACAACCCTAGTCACTGATTGTAAAGAAGCAGTAGAGGTATAAAACAAAGGATAGCGCAGGGTCGAGTCACCTTTAACAAAAATAAGTAGCTCAATTTAGAAATTCGAAAAAGATTGTTAAAGGTATATGTCTCAATCACGGCTCTATACGGTTGCAAAACGTGGAAAAGGTTAGAAGAGGTTGAAATGTGGTGAATTCTGAGGATGCCTTAAATAGAGAAAATTAGAAATGAGGACGCATTATAAAGGGTAGGGGAACGGAGAGCGCTATGGAGGTCAATAAGAAATGGACGAAATAGGTTAGTAGGACACCTTCTCAGGCATGAAGGTCTAGTCAGAGACGTATTAGAAGTAGAAACAGCAGTTAAAAGAGTAAAAGTAGAATTAGATCAGATTGCTCTTCACATTCTAGTTTTAGCGAAATGCGATGATTAGGTCAAGATCTGTCCTTAAAAGAATGAAGGTGCGTGTCCAACCAGTCTTAGAACTAATGACCTTATAATGACGATCATGATCAGATTAGTTTAACGGTAGGAAAAATTTGGTAAATGGTATCGTTTATACTTGAAATCTGAGTACCAGCTCCTTCTGAAGTTACAGAACACTACTTATTGTTAGACATCGTTACTGATGTCAACAAATCAAAGTTCAATATATGTATGTTAGACTCATTTGCCTAATTCGCTTATTAATCGAAATAAATACTGAGTTCCCGATAACGATCGGAGTAAAATGATCGGTTGCCGAAAATATATTCTATTTGGNAAAAGTAAAAATTTTTTTGATGATGGAGTCGACGAAGTTTTCTTCTAAAGTTAAATCAAATAAAAAGTTAATATGTTCAGTGAAAAGCTGCAATAGCACTTGAGACATCTTCACTCTTCATCTACATTAACTTCTTTCCAATAAAAACTAACCGTTTTATATATGTAAAAAATCACATATTGTGTTAATACTTATCATTTTATCGTAATTTAAAAACTTGGAAATTGCACGGTACACTATAGAAACTACGATAAATTTTCCCTAATCGGCGCCATGTTTTTAGGCTCCTCCCATTTGACGGATCCCAATATTCCAATTTTTTGAAGACTTAAACCGCCAAAAAGTATTGGATATGTAATTTTATAAAAAAAAAAGCTAGGTCCGCCCGTGTGGCACTTTAGATACGTCTCTCATCGGTTGATACTGCTCCATTGAATAATAAAAGGGCCGTATCTATGGCCTTCTTTAAATAGCAAAATTAAAACTGTGATATAATTTTTTTATTAAGTAAACTTTTTTGCATAGGTTTCATACCCTAAACCTTGAATTACAATAATGAGAAATGACAAAACCCCTTGTGCGTTTTGTTGTAGAAAGCACGTGTAACGAACCCCTTTTGCCCTTGCATGACGTTGCAATAAAAAACCATTTTATTTTAGTTGTTCGCAATGTATGTAATATAGGTACCTATACACCCTACGGGGTCATTTTACTTTGTGAAAAGGGCGAACTTCTGTGCCCTATTGTTTGTTTAACAAATGATCCTTTATTTGGAACCCTTAATCTTGATTTGAAACCGTTTGGCTATTATACAAGGGTGAGTTTAATTCCCCAGTGGAACAATTTAGATTGAGTTAGCTTTAGTTATGGCTCCGTAGTTCCCCCTTTTTGTGAATTACGCATTGCCTTTTGTTTAGTTAATTGACCGAAGGTAATAACGTCAACTGTTTAATCAAAATGTTCGTAAAATCCAATAAAATTGCTTATTGAGATTCAAATCATCCGGAAGATAATGGTCAAGGTCATCACTTGATTTCACCTTCGGCAGCATTTACAACTTTTGCCTAAAATTTTTTCCGAAATAATAAGGACCAATCAAGATACATGAACTGATGCGTCCTGGAGTTACTTCCTAACATTTCGCTAGCACGAGTGGCGAACTTCTTCAGAGGTCCACATCCAGCATCGGATATAGACACAAATCAGGACAACATCAGTTCACTAACTGGGTGCGAACGATACATATTTCATGTTTTTTGCAATAATTCTTATCTACTTCATCCCTATCCACCCCCAACCCCCCTGTTCCACATTTTGTTCTAACATATATGTACTCGTCCTTCGGGAATTCAATTAAAGTATTAAACTTACAGCTTTACAATTCCATAAAAAAATCGTGTCCAAATAGAAAAGAGTCTTACCAAATTGACGAAATCTTGGAATGTTATGGCAGGTGTTGTGGCCGACCTCGCTTTGTCCAACAAGATCTCTCTTTTTCCTGAACCCACCCTCTGTCGAAACTCTGGTTGATCCAGTGCCACTATCAAATCGGGCCACGGTATTTCCCCAAACCCTTCCTTATCATACTATAAGGGAGAACAAATAAGTGAAACAACATATGCTACGAAGACATTCATGGCCACGATTGGTTGATTGATTGATTACCTTATCAAATAACTGTCTCCATTGCTAAAACAAAAAGAAAACACCAATTCTAGATTGTAGGTATTATTGATGTACTGAAGATGCTAACAAAAAACTGACTAAAATCCATAAACTAATACAAAGTAACTTTAATTTCTTACTTATACTGAATGTACAGTGGACAGTGGGCGCGGCGGAAAAGAAAAGGTTAGAAACGTTCGAAATGTGGTGTTATAGGCGGATGATGAGGATATCGTGGGTAGAAAAGGTTAGAAATGAAGAGGTATTGGAAAGAATAGGAGAACAGAGGACTCTATGGAAG